TTACACCAATGAGAACTGTCACAATGATCAGATAAATAAGAAACCAAGTACAGAATCAGGAGAAGTCAAAGAAAAGCCAAATGAAAATGAAAAGAAAATATCAAAATTGAACATCCCCCAAAAGTTAGCTCTGGATACCAGCTTCATGAAGCTCAGTGCCAGGCCTTCAGGGAATCAAACCAATTTAGAAGAGAGTTTGGAGAAGGTCCGAAAAAACAACCCAGAAGTGAAAGAGCTCAACCTGAACAACATCGAAAACGTCCCCAAGGAAATGCTGATAGACTTTGTCAATGCCATGAAAAAGAATAAGAACATAAAAACATTCAGCTTGGCCAACGTGGGGGCCGATGACAACGTGGCGTTTGCCCTGGCCAACATGCTGCGGGAGAACAGGAGCATCACCACGCTGAACATCGACTCCAACTTCATCTCTGGCAAAGGGATCGTGGCCATCATGCGGTGCCTCCAGTACAACGAGACGCTGACGGAGCTCCGCTTTCACAACCAGCGGGGCATGCTGGGCCACCAGGCAGAGATGGAGATCGCCAGGCTGCTGAAAGCCAACACCACCCTCCTGAAAATGGGCTATCACTTCGAACTGCCAGGGCCCAGGATGGTGGTGACCAACCTGCTCAGCAGAAACCTGGACAAGCAGAGGCAGAAGAGGCAAGAGGGGCAAAGGCAGCAGCAAATGAAAGAGCAGAAGGAGTTGATAGCGATGCTGGAGAATGGACTTGGGTTGCCTCCCGGGATGTGGGAAATGCTGGGGGGACCTCTGCCCCAGGTGAGGATGCATGAGCCCCCACAAGCCCCAAAACCACCCGTCCCTGCAGCTGTGTCCCTGAGCAAAAGGCAGGAGAGCACGAGGCAGCCGGCCCCGGAGCAGCCCTGCAGAGAGAAACCCGCCAGCTTCAAAGTGGTCAAGCTGAAGAAGATTCAGCGCAAACCCGCCGTGCCGGAATACGTGGAACCCGCCGAGAAAACCAACCTCAAAGACGTCATCAAAACGCTTAAACCGGTTCCCAGGAGAAGACCTCCTCCCCTCGTGGAGATAACCCCGAGGGATCAGCTCCTCAACGACATCCGTCAGAGCAACGTCGCTTACCTTAGACCGGTGAGTGCCGGGCTGTGCTGGGGAGGGGAGGGAATCACATCCACCCAGCGTGCTCTGAGCTGGGGTTGGAAACATCTGGGCATTCGTGGGGCTGGCAGTGCACCTGCATGCTGCATCATCAGTGCTGCATCAGGCTGCTGTTCCTGGGATGCAGGTGGTTGTTTTCCAGTCTGGCTTGCACAGAGAAATGGCAACAAGCGCTGAGGCTGCAGCCTCGTGCATCCCTGTCTGCATCTGTAAGGTAAAAGAATGGAAATTCAGTCAGGAGATTAATAAACCCACAGAAACTCAACCTTAGCATACTACTAATAGCATATTAGTTGTGATAGGCATGTGCTATTGTAAGATGCTTGTTTCAGGAGAGCAAGAGGTATTATTTTTCACATTAGCCTGGCCTCAGTCCTCCATAAAAACCTTGTTTCTCTCTTCAATAGCTGTGTTTTACCTTAGTTCTCACTTTACACAGGAAAGCACTATCATTTGGCCCACAACAAAATCTAGCCTAGACTCACAGCCTGCAGCCTCACCCGGCAGCAAGGGGTGCATTATTTTAGTGATCCTTTGCCACTTGATCTTTTTTTGCCCTTATTTAAATCAGCTGCAAAACTCTAGTGCTGTTAGGAAAAAAAAGAAATTAGAAGCACCAGCAGTGAAGATGGAGCAAGGCTAAAGGAAGAAAGTAGCGATACCACAGGAGCTTTTATATTTGTTTCTGAGTAAATCTTTGCCACTGAAAAGTGCTCAGTGGTCACGACTCATGCGAGCTCAGTGTGAGAATCCAAGTCCAAAACTGTGAAAGCTGCCTCTTGGTGATGCTGCTACTTGGGTACCAAATTCACGGGCCACTTCTCAAAATGTTGGCCACCAGATTTAACCTTTTGCTCTCCTGACCTGTTATATTTCCTTGTGTTGTACCATTATTCAAGAAATCCTAAAAGATGACTGATGTATTTGTAGCTAGTGATGCTGATGCCTCTTAGTGTTGCTAAAGCTTGAGGAAGAGGACAGAAAATCCTTTGTAATTAAAAATGGTCAAGTAGTATTTTGTAATTAATTTTTCTTTTAATATTGACATTTTAATATACTGGGCCTCATTTTGCTTTCCTTTATACCTACACAGAAATAATTATTCCCTCAGCAAGTCCCTCAGCAGGGGATACATGTGTTGGGGGTTTGGGGTGGGGGTTTTTTTGGTGTTTTTTTTGGTGGGTTTTCTTTTTTTTTTCCTAGTTCTCTCTCATTGGGCCACGTGGCATGGATTTGGGAGCATTAGGCTGTTATTGTCCCCATCCTGTGTGATCCTTTTTTGCCTCAATACCCTCAGCTTCATCTCTAAAATAGGGTTTTACTGCTTGAGCCAAGCTGGGTGCTTGTTTGCTCCATGAAGGGACTCAATGCTTTCAAATTGATTTCCTGAGCATAAAGCATCACAAACAGCAAGTGGAAAATTACAAACAAAAGAAATTCCCAACCAGAGCTCCCTGGAGCTCCCAGCTGTTATATTTTTGATCATTTTACGTTTTTTGAAGGTTTGTATTAGACTAAACTGGTCTGGGAAATAAGACTGAGAAATTTCCTCCTCCTCACACTTACTGTCCTTGTCCAGGTGCCGTTGCCAAAGCAGCTGGAGTGAGACCAGACTGACCTGAAGAAAACAACTTTGGAATAAGGACTGTTCAAGTTTTGCTTACAACAGTTTCAGCAGATGTTTTCTGCAGAACCCAGGTGGTATATTCAACTCTTTGGGAACAAAGCTTGCGATACACACTTTTATAAGTGTGGTGGAAATGGCTGGCATGGGAAAACCCAGTGCTAAGCATTTCCACCAGGTATCAAACAATCCCGCTGCCATCTGTCTGCCAAGCGGATTTGAGGCTTCAGTTTGTTGTGGGAGTATTTTCTCAGAGGCATCAATAACCTTGTCTTTCTAGTTTGTCAGCAAACTACTTTGCTTCCACGTTGTCCTTCTGCTGCCAGATTCTGCAGGAACACGCTGTGCTTTATCTTTCTTTTCACACACATGCTGCTTTATTATTCTCCTGTCTGTGAGAAATCTTCTTGGGTTCCGTGTATACAGCTTCATTTTTTAGGCTAAGGAAACAGAAATGAAATAAAGCTCTCTCTGTAAGATGTGTGCAGCACTTCCATCACTAACCAGATGCTCACAGACAGAAGGACTGCTCTGGTACAACAAACACCTCGCCTGGATGGTTTCAAGCTCTATTTCAGAACATAGTCTAGTGGGTATTGTACCTGATCAGCATATAAAAGATGCTGCTACATTCTGCTTTGAGAGCTGTGATCTTCATTCCCCATGATTCACCTCTGTCTTAATGTATTCCTTAATTGCAGCCACCTTGGAGTGCACTGAAATGCCATTTCAGGTTTTTTTCCACATTGTTCTTGTGGCAGGAGGATGGGCATTTTTTTCCTCCTCGTGCTTTACTATCACATTAGATTTTTCTGTTGCATTTTTTGTAAAGCAACTGCAGGTAAGTCACACTCTTGTAAAATACATCCATGAGATACCAGTTTGGAAGTTTTTTGTTCGTTTTTTAAAGCTGTAAGGCTTAGGGAAACAACAAAGGCCAAAATGCAGCTCCCCTGCCTTCCTGTGGCTGATATTCGACCCAAAGGCGCAGCTTTGCAGCTCCTGGCAGGATTTCCTTCAGGTGAGTTAGTCTCTTAGTGGTAACTCTTAACAACCTTCCTCTGGCACCTAAATCCCAGTCCCACCCTGCTCCCCCTTCCCATGTTTATTATAATAGTCCTGTAGTATCAGCAATGTCCAGGACCTCATTGAATCCAAGGTAGTCTCTACTATCATTCGTTTAAATTTTCATTTGTCCTTGTCCTTTCTGTACCTATCACCTAGATAGATATGGTCTATGGAAATGGTCTCTTTCCAAGCTCTATCTTTCAAACTGTAAAGCTCCTTCTCAGCTCAGCTTCTGTTTGCAACTGTAATGCCCCAGACTTGGGAAACCCTCTTGGTTTATTGTCTAAGACAGAGCAAGTAGCTTTTAAGTATCAGGTAAAGGGAAAGGAAGAGCCATGTCTGCATGGCAGAGATATAAAAAAAATTGAAGTAATTTTCATTGCAGTCCTTACTTTTTGTAGTGGGTAAGAGTAGGAAAGGGAAGGAGCTTGGGACTTCTAACCAAGCCCTTGCATGGAGCACAGCAGCAAATGCAAAAAGCAAGTCCCCCAGAAAGCTCTTGCAGTAGCTGCTCTCCAGACTGGTTTCAGGGCCAGGCTAGTGCAGCTCAGACTTCAGCAGTTGGGACAGGGAAGCACAAAGGAAAATATATTATAGTGCTTTACAGTCTCCAGCTCGAGCTGCCAGGCACAAATTACTGCTACACCCAGAAGCTGCCAAACACGTCTTACCAGGGTGTACAGAGCAGGACCTGTGGAGCCCTGCTCTGATCCGTGTTCTCCCACCAAGCAGCCTCTCCAGTGATCCCAGGAGGAGCCAGGCAGCCAGATACAGAGATCACACCATCAGTTTGACTGCAGCAGAGCTGGCTTCCTAGTACTGCTCAAGGCAGAGCTCCCAATATTCCTAGGTGCAGAAATCCCGCTCAGGTAATTAAAAGAAAAGTGAAATCCCAGTTAAGCAGAGTTATATAAGAGACTGGAACAGCATGAACAAATACCTTAAGTATTTCACCTCTGTAGAGCAGCCTTTTTAAGGATGCAAGAGCAAGGCTATAACATTGCAGTTCAGAGGTCCCTCGTGCCCCAGCAAAGCTAATACAGACACGGAGCAGTCAAAGCCAGAAGCTTAATCCCCTTCACGGGCTTGCAGCACGAGCTGCTGGGTGACAGCAAATCTCCCACCCCCCCTCCTGGAGTTCCACCAAACACAGAAACAGCCACAAGCTTCAGTTTCAAATCCTTAGAATTTATTTTTCATCGTAACTGTGCAGTTTTTAAAATTCTACAGTAATGATGAAGTCATAGGCTACTATGTTCTTTAAGTGTGGAAACAGCTTTCAAAAAACAAAGACCATGCGCTACAAGTGAGGAACAGGCCATTGACTCTTCTGCTGGAATATACAGACATTTTTGATAAATACTGATCACTTTAACACTTAAATGGAATGACATGTTCAGATTTCTACGCAGTTCACTATGAAAACAGCATGGCAAGTTACATAAAAGCTTCAACTTCAAGGATCCTTCCTTTTTTATTAAATTAATTACTTGGTTAGAAAAGAGAAATGCAAGATTATTTGAAATGGAGTGTCACCTGGACAACTTCCCCCCACATTGTTGGCAAGCTCCTGTTATCAAGATGATTCCATCAGAGCTGGCAGCTAAAATCTATATATGTAAAAGAATCCCCCACACTGTTCTCAGCTTCAAGAGTTCTAACAGGCAAATATCTTCATGAATTTGGAATGGGTTTTCAAAAACTGTATCTTGACATTTATTGCTTTTACTTGTAAACCTGAAACCCAGTTTATTCCTTTGATGAGTACCAGAAGTTACAGAGTCAAAGGATGCATGTTTGACTTATATCTTTGCATTCTGGTTAAGAGGAAAGAAAAAGATGACCCACGCTCGAAAACACACATACACCTCCATCTACAAACAGCCTATACAGACTAAAGCAGAACAAGGTAAGTCCTTAAGTAGCAGTATTTAAAAACATCAATGGGGTAGAAACCCAGCTTATCCAACTTATCTGCACATTTCTTCTTCTCCTGTGCTTGGCCACAGTTTAGCTGGCACACAGGGAAGTTGGACTCCCCTGCAGAAAGGAGCAGTTTCTACAGATCAGGATTTTGGAGAGAGCAAAGGTACATTTTACTGGAGCTGGCAGGCACAGTGCCACGTGTACCCTTCATGCTTACATCTATTTAGACTCTTTCATGGCTGCTGAAGGAGGAGTGTGAGGTGAGGACAGAACCCAGACTCGTTACAAGTACTGCACAGTTTTACCCCTTGCCAGTTAAGCTGGGAGGGATTTGGAGGATGCAAGAGATACCTAATTTTGATACATTCCAGCTCACCTTGATCATCACCAGGCTGAAGGTGCTACCTGGCATAACCTGGCTAAACTGCAATCTTTTAGAACTGAGATGAAGGGGATGTTACTTTAATAGACAAATTTGTTACAAGACAGTTTGAGAGACTGCATTCCATAAGTTTCCATCTCTTCCTCCTCTACCCCCAGAAGAAGAGACAAGCAAACATGACTAAGTTAGTATGTATTTGTGTAAACACCAGAACATTTTGCTATACAATAGAAAAAAGTTGCTGCTCTTATGTTCTTAGAGGAGCCCTGAAGACCTTGGAATACCTGTATCCTGCAACTATTAACCTGTACCACATGCATTTCCTGTTTTGTACACAAACTGAAAGCAAGCTTGAACAATAGTAAATAGCAACTACACTCCTGCAACAGGTGAAAATGCCATGTTGCAGCTGCTTACTCCTTCACTTTAGATATGTAGTCAGCGATTTTGTTGATGCTATCCTCCTGCTGTTCTAGAGCATCCAGGATGATGCCCATTGGGGTCTTCTTCAAGCCTATTCCCTCCATCTTGTTCTGCAGCTTGTTCTGTATGTTCCGGAGCCTCAGAGAAGCATGGACAAACATCACTGCAGGACACAAACACACTCATTAATTGTTAATGCTCAGGGAATGCACAGTTCTTGCAGCCCTCATCTTAAGACACATTCCAGCACCATGACATCAGTGGAAGATGATGACGTATCAATGACTGTTTAAGTAACCACAGGTATCCATTTAATGATATTAAAGATGGCTTGTGCTGTTTTGTGTCTGCTCCCCCACAATTCTGCTTTGGGATCATTTAAACAGAGATATCAAAGGCAACAGCCAATTTGGAATCTGCAGACTTAAGTCAGACCCCTCTAGGCCCGCAGAGAAGAGAAAAATTACTTACAGAGGAGAGGAAGTGTGATCCCAAACATGAACACCATGACATCTCCCAGGTAGGAGATCAAGAAGTAGCTAGACAGCATGATGGCCACCACAAACGTGGTTGGATACTGCTTCTTCAGCTTGCGCAGAATATCCTTGTTGTGCGACATCCACACAAACCCCAGGAACACCAGCACCACCACGGTACCACCAATGACCATGTTCAGGGGACTCAGAAATCTGCAGAGAAGAAGGAACAACAACAAAAAAAGTGTTCAATTTCAGAGCCTTCATGACTTGTGTCCACAAAGGAACAGCTCGCTCAGTAGTAATGTTACCAGGGAGGTAAGTCATTGAGAAGGCAGTTGTTGCTGTCAAGACCTTTACCAAGGTCTTTAGCAGAAGCTAAATAAAGCAACAAAGTGCAACTTGAACAAGCAACTCTTAGCACTGAATTTAGATAATCTTTGTCTTTATGTTCTCTTCTTGAGCTTAGCTGAGGATAATGAGTTTCTGCAGCACCTCATAACAGAGGCACTTCCCACCAGGACCCCTCCTACCTCTGCGATCAACTCATTTGATATCACACCCAGAGTTAACATATCCAGAGAGCAGATGGAGCCAACATTGGCCCAAGGGACTGATCTTTTCCCTCCACGTGGCAAAACCAGGATCAGCCTAGGCCTTCAGATAAACTAGCTTTTCATAGTATCTTGTCTAGGTTTGCAAAATGGGAAAGGTAGAACACTAAAGGAAGTTACTTCACTGTTTCTCATTTCTGAATAAAACTTCTTACTGGTTTACAACCAAACAAAAGAATTGTATGAACTTCCAGAAGGAGCTTGCCACCATCAGCGCAAGAGATGGAAGCCCAGTCCCAAGCAAGCATGCCTGAGAGTCAGAAGGAACTGGAGTATGGGATAAAGGTTTCATAGGAAGAGGAGCCAGGCCTGGGAAGAGAGTCACTGCTGAGGTTTGTGTTCTATTATTGCTATCAGAGTTTCCAAGCAAACCAAGCCACCAAGTGGATCAGCTTTGGACTATAAACAGCAAGTCCCTTTTTTGGACCAGTGCAAGAACATCACCTGCTCAAACCACTTTCCCAACTATTTAGAGCTTGTTCAGAGTCAAGCTTTCAGTAATCGCTTTGCTGAGCTTGTTTCTGTACTCACACAAAGTCAAGGCTCTATGATATTTCACTTATAGAGTAAAAAGTTATGTGATTTCATGTGCATTCTGATTTACTGGCCTGCACATGCTCTGCTCTGGTTACACAGCAGCTGGGGGCTCTGAGCTATTACAACTATGGCAGCAGGACAACACCGCCCTGACAAAGCCAGACATACTCTAGATTTCCCCTCGTAGACTTTGCAGCACATCTTGCTGTTCCAAAGCTAACAGGCCCAGTGATTCACCACTCCTCCCCACTGCTGAGGAGGAAGCTATGGTTTGTGGTCTGTGCTTCATATCCGGCACAGGCACAAGAAATGGGCTGGTATGTCAACACTCCACCTGCAGTGCCAGGGAACAGTTCCCCAGAGAAGGAAGAATCCCCAAGAATTATTTCAGAGCAAGGACTGGCTCTTGATTCTTTAAGTGAGTTGTGCCAACAGGAGACAGGACAACTGGACAGAAAAAGATTAAAATTCAGACTAGTTCCCCACCTGCTTCTGCTCCTCATGCTGAAAAGCCAACAGGGCTTTTTGGAAGTGGTGATAGGGCAGACTTGGTTGTTGCATCTGAGTCACTCCCTGTAGCCAGCCAGTTTATATTTAGCTTTGAATCGTCAATCTAAAGTTTCCAGGCTGGAAAAAGTGAACAGCATTGCTCTGGAAGGAAATCGGTTTCATCTGTGCTCCTTTGCAGCAGGAGAAGGAGGGTGACTCATGACTGGACCACACTGGTGTCTGGCTTATATACATACTACTGGACATATGAGATTCCTAAAGCAGAAGTCACCTCCACATCACAGCTATCTTGGAGCAGAAACGGCCAAACTTACTCAGGCAACTCGCAGTAAATAATTTTTTGTTGCCAAAAAAATCCCCAGACAAGATAATCCTAGAAGCAACAAAGAGCTAGGCAGAGCTCCACTCTGCATTTTCCACATGCCTGCTAAATGCTCTCAAAGCCTTATCTTCCCTGCTCTTCTCTCTACTCTTATTACAACTTCAGAAACTTGTGGTGAAGAGCTATCCCTCCATATTTATAAGGAAGAGACCAAGTAATTCTCTGGTCTACACTTTTTTCTGGTATTAAACAGGTTCTGTATAACTGATTGGCTGTAAGGGATATAAAGAGGAGTGGGGGGGAGGCACAATGCATTCAGAAGATCCCACTTTCCTAAGGAAAGTGATTTGAATTACATGTTTTCTGAAGTGGGCTGCATTCCAACGCATACAAGGGAACAGTGAACAGAAGTATCAAGTGAAGGCATTCAGAGCCACATGAACACAGATGGGGATTGCAGTTGCCACTAAAAACTGGTATTCAAGTTATCAGCCATGTGTCCACAGACTTCACTCCTGGTGATTGCAGTACTGGATAGGGTGTCATATGCCAAGCTCCCCTTTATTGCTTGACTCGCCCACAGCGTAATTTACAGCACTAAGATTACCCTAGAAATTCATATATAGAAAATTCTTCTCCAGCAATGGCATTTTTCAAGAAGGCAGACCTCCATTATCGTCTCACTCAGATCTGTTGGCGGGCTGCTCTCAATAACACAATAGCTAAAGGCTAGAAAGGAAAAAACATGGACACGTTATTTTAGAACACCAGGGCGTGGGGAAAAAGCAAGCTGTGTAACAGCCCTAGAAGTCACCTTACAGCTGAACCACCAACATTGGTATTGGCCTTATTTATCCAGAGGTCAGAACACAATATGACAAATTTGTGCTCAGGCAAGGAGGCTGGAAGTCTTTCAATGCTGCAGAGACAAGGTAAGTGACCAGCCATTAAGTATGTTACAAGATACTTTCTAAATATAATTCCCTTTAGCAGGGATTTATGAGACCTCTCAAATACCTAAAAATGTAATGCACATAACTATCAGCATGGCAGGGGTGTGGTGGCTTGAGTTTACACTGCTCAGATGACTCAGGGGAGGAAAAACTCTTTTAGGGTTGGACATGAAAATCACCAACTTCTATGACCTTGAAAGAAGCTAGAATGGCAGGACTAATGGCATTTAGGTGTGCTAATGGCCTAGAGCATCTTGTGTGGATGATCTCCTCACTTGTTCTCTGTGGTGGACAAGGTACAGCCCTGGTAGGATGCTCTGACCTCGCGTACAGCCAGGACAAACTGACAAGGAAAAGCCATCACTCGGATTCAGTTTCAACAGTGGCACAGTGGGACTTGCCATTGCCCCCCTGCTGCCCTGCAAAGACCAGGCTTCCTTGAGCACCTACCTCAATGCAAAGTAAAGAGACAGGGGAAATAAATAAAATACACATCCTGCCTGGCTGCAGAGACACAGGTATTGTCCTGTGCCAAGCTGGGCCGCAGGACACTTTGTATTCTGGAAGGAGCCTCAGGGGAGATGAAATGCTGGAGGTGCAGTTGTGTGGGAGGAAGTACTGGCAGCTACCCCAGGCCAGCAGAAACAGATGAAGATGAAATACTTTCTTTTTTTAAACTAGATTCATGTTTCTAGGCTCTGCATCGCAGGTTAGAACTCTCACACAGGTTCAGGAAAGCCCAAAAAGTTCTGCTTTCAGTGAGTTACCACATCACCTCTCCTTGTCAGGCTGTTTCATACCTGCACACTTGTACAGCCTTACAGCAGGAGACAAGGAGGACACAGAGCTGTAGTGTAGGGGGAAAGAGCTTGGCAAGACACATCCTTTGTGGAAGACAAGAAGCCTCCAGCAGCACAAGCCCAGAAATAGGACAGGCCACATAAAAAGCAAAAGCTCCATCCTCAAATCAGCTCCATTTTAGATGACTGTATTGGGGTGATTATTCAGCAGTTGCTGTCACATCTGTTTCTTTTGCCTGTGACCAGGGAAGTCTGAACAAAGGCACTGAGTAGGAGACTGGCAGTCATCGTGAACCATGTTTTTTTACTTACAGCAGCTCAGTTAGGCTGTTGCACCAAATAAGCATGAAAATTCCCTTTCAGAAGGCCTTTTGCTCTACCACGGCCCAAACAGTGGTAAGGTCAGAGCACTAAAATGCTTCCTCCCTCATTTGTATTAAATTAAATAACTTGAAAGATGAAGTTCTGCCTCCTCTCTCCCCATACTTTGAGCTTCACTGAGGTTATACAGCTGTAATGAGATGTAGCACATAAAACTATAAATAGCATGTTATTTCAGGTGACAGCCCTCAGCATCCATGGATTTAGCAATGCTTCTGTACCTACTGTTGTTTACTTGCATTGTTTTGAGAACAGGAGACTGATTCCTTCTTGCAGAACTGCCAGACCTTTAGGAAGTTATATATACTAATATTATTATGCAACATATGTTTTAAAATGATGTTTTGCTCGCTCATTCTTAATCTTTCATCAGAGAAACTAAAGATTTTGCTGCTCTGGAGTTTTTGTTTCAGCAGAGGGAATCACTACAGGTACCTCAGGCAGGGGAAGGAAAAAAAAGAAGAAAAAAGACAGGCAGTCATTGATTGCTGGGGTTGTGCAGATGGACAGTAGACGTTTTTAAAAAGTGGTAAAGAAAAGAGACATCAAACCTCAGGCTGTGAGGAGAACATTACTGCAGAAGAGAATGAGCACTCTGATGTTCACATAGATACAGCACTCTGAAATCCAGTATGCTTTTTAAAACTGTCAAATGTAGAAGCTAATTTTTAGCAAGTACATGGCAAGAAAAGCCTAGATGAAATTATATTAATTTAAGCAGTTAAGTTTGAACTACATGACAGAGAGGCCTTGTTGGAGTAGGTGGAAGAAGAGACAAATTCCACTTATTAACCAAATTGACTGTTTGAGGGGAGTTACAAGCTGTTGTGGGAGGCACTGAAGGTACCAATTTTAATAAAAATCCCAATAGGACTCACAATGACAGGGCCCTGGCTCAGGGTAAGAATGGGGAGTCCAGTTCCTCTATAACTGGGTGAAAGGGCACAATTTTGTAAAGATCTTGTTTTTATCAGTGATCTACTGCAACTGAGTTGTAGAGGGGGGAAAAGAAAAAGCACCCAAGTCCAGAGTCATTCTTAAAGGAATTTGCAGGGAGGGAGCGTGGAAGAGACAAGGCTGCTACCACCAGCCTGTATTTGTGGAGTGGCACTAATTTAGCAGTTTCAGTTTTTTGTTCACTGATTTATTATTTTCTACCCAGTCCTGCAGGCTGAAAGTAAAATCTACATTACTGCAAAGCCCAGAACTTCATTTACATGTAACAGTAGCTTTGGGAGAAGACACATGGAAGGAGAAAGGCAGGGACATGATGCAGTAGAGATCATTGCAATTCCACTACGTTCATGGTAAGGTTCTTCCACACCTTGAAGAGAGAGGGTAAAAGGCTGGAGAGGTCACCTTTGCTGTAGGAGAGGCAGTAAACTAAAGCTGTGGCAATGAGCACTGTACCTTCAGTATCAAGAAAGCCCTAGGCTACAATTTCTGAGTCAGCCCAACACAACCACAGTTGCCAAGTATTGCAATAGCTGAAAATATTATCTTCGCATTACAAGTCTGTCTATATAGTTAGATGGTTTAAGAACAGGTAGAGTTGGTTATGGGCTAAGTTTAGTTTTGATCACAGGAAGACCACTACATTAGTGGTTTCAATAATCCTGCCCTTAGGCCTGTATACAGCCCTGGAGTTCCTAAAAAGCCATGATTCATCATTTATCACTCAGAGGTTCCTGCCCAGTACGGAGTTAAGTGCAACATCTATTTAAATTTATCAGGAGAACTTTCTTTACCTTTCTCCCAAAGCTACAGTCTGGCCAAATGAAAAATAATTTTATTAAAAGAAATGGACACTTTTTCTCTATTGAGGTATTATCCAATTTCCTTTAGAGTTCTTCTACCATTTGACTTTACTTCAGGGTTAGAAGGATCAGGTTCATCATACACAAAGGCTCTAAGACATGCTGTAAAAAATATTTGAGATCAAGATTCCATTCCAGGCATTGTTCATCTGTAAGTTTTCAACTTAGAGGGTTATCACTCAATATTAAGGTATTGGAATTGCAGTTCTGATATTAGTTTGCATCTCCTGCGGCTCTCTTCCTCTTCCACCTCCCACCTCAGCACATCAGTGGGAAACAAGTGGGAGATGAATCTCCCTTGATCTGAAGAAAAGCAATCAGAGTTCAAAAGGAGGAATTTAGGAGAGTGAGTAAAAGCTTCTGCTATCCTTGTTTTCTGACCAGAAATATTAAAATTGTTTACATTTTTTTCCCAACCTTCTTGGGCAGAAGAGCTTGTCCCTTTGCCTTCCAGGGACACTGTGATTCACCTGTGATTCATTGGGAGGTGGCTACAGCATCATGCTGCTAAACAGGGGCAAATGAACACAGAAGTTTAGAGCAAGGTGGTATAAGAAAGGCAAGGCCATGGAAGTGTCATTTTACCAGACTTGTAGTCTGTAAAGCTCACTGCAGCATATCCCCAACAAATTAAAAAGCAGAAAGCCTGTGCCACTATGCCAAACCCTTAACCATCATATGCAACCAGAAGAAAAAGCAGGATTCTGAGCCTATCCTTCCACAGAGCACAGGCCAAAGCTCCCTGTGAGCCATAGAATCTTCACCAACTTGAGATGCTGGATCAACAGCTTCAGAAGCCCTAACAGGATGCAGAATGCTTACACCAAAAAAAAATGGATTTAGAGGAATAATTTTAAGACTCTGCAACATAAAAGATAAGATGTACTTCAGCCAAAACCACTCTGGCCTAGTGGCTGGGCAATCCTCCAATTTAAGCATTTGCACAGTCTTTGTTGAGAAGAGTGGAGTATTCCAGTTTCCATATTAAAAGCTTAATCATCAGCTTCTGCTGCATGTCTTGCTTAAGAGCTTTCGGACCAAAGATGCCGAAGCAATACCTCAAGAATCACATAGGCTTTGATTCAGAAGATGATTATAAGGTTATTCCCTAATTCTCTTCAGGAAAGTTGGGCCTCAGACAATATCATATCAGCAGATGCTCCTGTCTTGAAGAAGGCAGAATTTATCTATGTAGTTTTTTTAGATTCACAGTAGAGCATGTCTGAGCTTGCACAGCCCACCGGACAGGTTCAGGAGGAAGCACAAGTCGCTGCACAGGATGCAGCTCCGTTTTCTGCGGGCAGCGACATCCTGCACATTGCACATAAAAATCATCGGTGCCTTCTGCCAGGCTGGGTGCCCACTGCCTCTCCCTCGGGCAAAGGGCTTGAGGAGCAGCCCGTGAAACAGGGAGGTAACAGTAACATCAGTGAGACCGCACCAATAAACTGTTATAAACGCGACTCCTCTCAAGCCCCTCCTGCATTTTTAAGAGACACCAGAGCTTTAAGGGAAGGCAGGAGGGGAAAGGGGGGAAATAGGGAGGGTAAAGGGGAGAAAAAGGGGGAGGGAATGAAAGGGAAAGCGGAAGTGGGGGGAAAGGGGAGTGGGGGAGAATGGGGAGTGGAGGAAGGGGGAAAGGCGGGGGTGGGGAAGGAGAATGGGGGTTAGGAGAATGGAGGGAAAAGAGAATAGGGGAGAAAAGAAAGGGGGGGGGGGAGCAGCTCCCCCGGCCCCGCAGCCCGACATCCCGCCCAGGGCCGGGCCGGGCCCCTTCCCGTGGCACCGGGCCGGGTCTCAGCGCTCCCGGCCCGGGGACCAGGGCCCCCCATCCCGCCGCCCCCGGCCCGGCCGCGCTGCGAGGCCGCGCACTGACCCCACGATGGAGATGAGCGCGGCGGCCACCATCAGGTAGTTGGTCTGGTAGTAGAGCAGGTTGCTGACCACGCGGTTGTTCCATTTCGAGATGTCCTTGAGGTCGGGCAGGGCGAAGCGGTCCGAGCCGGGGAAGAAATCGTCCCAGGCCCGCAGCGGGGCCACCTGCACCTCCATGGCCGCCGCCACCGCCGCGCAGGCTCGGGAGAGGCGGGCACCGCCCCGGGGCGGCTCTGGCACCGCCGCACCCGCACCGACAGACGGACGCCGGCACCGACAGACACACCGACACCGATACGCGCACTAACACCGGCCCCGGCCCCGCTCCTCGCTGCTGAGACCGCGAGCGAACGAGCGGCAGCAGCAGCACAAGAGACGGTCTGTGTCACCGCCCGCCACACGCCCAGGGATGGCAGCTGACACGGGCTGCTGTCAATAACCGCTGCAAATTCATTGTTCCCTCAGCAAATGGTGATGCACGCTTAATATTCACGTGCCGAACCCGCTCCCCATCATCTGTGAGACAGGGGGAGTGTCAGCCCCAGCCACGGGGGCTCTGGGGGGTGTCCCATTGCAGATTGGCTCTGCTAAGTGGGGGTGCTGTCTTCAAGGTGAATTTTCTGTCCTCAGGCTGAGTTTTCTCGCCTTTTTAAAACGTAATTGATGTCAGATAACTTCAACAATACAAGTTGTTTAATGAAGAAAAGAACGTTGTGTTTTCAAGCATTGCGTAAGATTAGATCACCCAAATAAATATGCATTAGGCGGGCGGGGAATATGTATTAGACAGGCGGGTTTATGTAAATTTTACTTATAAAACGTGTAACCCCTTGGGATGCTTGATTTGTGGAAACGTACACCTTGCGCCCTGCGCAAAATAAACAACGTCTCCTTCCTAAACTAGACTCTGTGTCTGTGTTTAGAGATCTCCTAAAATCGGCAACAGGATGATTGTGCCTATGGAGGGAAAGGTTGGTGGCAGCAATTGTGGTGGTTCAATCCCAGCAGTCCGTGTTGGAGCACTTGTGGTTTCAGGCTTTCACACTTCACCCACCATGTGTGTACCACACAGCACACCGGGTTTGCTGCAGGCATCAAAGTCCTTCTCAAAATGCAGACTGGTAAGCCAGGAGGCTGGCAGCTGCTTCTAAAGTTTGGGAGTCCAAGGCTTGAGAGCAACCCTTGTGAGTCCTGCTCATCTGCTTCCCGTCCTGTGCTCAGATGCCGTTCCTTAGTTCTGGTTTATATTTGATCCCAGGACAGCCATGGGCACAGCCTGTCCAGCCTCTGTCCAGGGAGTGCTGACAAGGCAAAAGCCATTGTGGTGGGCAGTGACCAGCCCCAGGCTGCTCCCACACCCACGTTTGGTCCCTAGTCATCCTGTAGGCTCTAACGTGCCCTGAGAATGCCCTCCTGGGTAACTCTGAGTTCAGAGGAGGCCACCAAGATGAGCAGAGGGATGGAGCATCTCTGCTATGAGGAAAGGCTGAGAGAACTGGGACTATTGAGCCTGGAAAAGAGAAGGCTTACGGGTGACCCAGTTGCTGCCTTCCAGTACCTGATGGGAACCTACAAGAAAGGGACTTTTTACAAGAGCATGGAGTGACAGAATAAGATGGATTGGCTTCAAACTGAGAGAGGGCAGGTTTAGATTATATATTAGGAAAAAACTCTTTATTGTAGGGTGGTGAGGCCCTGGCACAGATTGCCCACAGAAGCTGCGGCTGCCCCATCCCGGGAAGGGTTCAAGGCCAGGTTGGACAGGGCTTGGAGCAACCTGGTCTAGTGGAAGGTGTCCCTGGCCATGGCAGGTTGGAACAGGATGATCTCTGAGGTCCCTTCCAACCCGAACCATTCCATGGCTCTGTGATCATCAGGGAGGTGGGCCCAGGGAGACCCCTCAGCTGCCGGGGTCCGGCCAGGGAAGGCGAGAGCCTCTGTCTCACGCATCAGGGGTTCCGCAAGGCTCCCGCCGCCGTCTCACCGGGGCGATTATCGCGATTATCGCCCCCCCCGCGCGGGAAACAACCCCTTGGGCCCGGCCCCGCCCCGCGCGGGGCACTGTGGGAAGCAGAGGGAGCGATGGCGGATCGTGAGGAATCGTAAGTGCCCTGTATGTGTGTGCTCGGCCGCCCCCGCCCCGCGCCCGGGGAACCCCCTCCCTCCTCCCCGGTCTCTGTAGCGCGATACTGACCCTTCTTTTATTCTCTCTCTTTTAGGGAGAAGAAAAGAAGGAGGCTAGAGGAGCTGCTGGCGGATGGGTTAGTGCGGGGCTGCGGGCCAGCGGGGGCAGGGGCAGCGCTTGGCGGGGCGGGGGCAGGGCAGGGCAGGGAGAGCCGCAGCCCCGCGGGGGATGAGGGACGGGGGAGGCGCGGGCAGGGAGGAGGGAGCCCCAGGAAGGCTGTCAGAGGCGGGGCAGGGCTTGGACGGCAGGGGCTGAGGGAGAGGAGCCCGGCCGAGGGGCTCGCAGCTTGGCATGGTGCGCTCAGGAGCTTGGGGACGACACGGGGGGAGCTGCCTTGCCGGCCAGGGAGCGGGGAGGGCCTCCAGGCTAGAAGCAGGTGGCTGAATTTTTTGGCTGAAAATTTCAAAAAAATTCAGGCCGCGAAACAGTTGGCCTCTGCTTGTTAAAAGCTCTAAATTCTATGCACCTGCCTTAAAAACTAATGCTGGGAAATCTTCAGCATCATCTGCTTCTGTCCCTTAGCTGCTCCCTTCCATCTGCCTGTGCCCCTCTTCCCAGGGATCACAAAGCCGGCCTGCCCGAGCACCGGGCTCGCAGGCAGTGCATGTGTGTGTCGGGATGAGGGTCACGAAAATCCCTGGGCATGTTGGATGGGAGGGGTGCATGCCAAGTCCCTCAAAAGCATGGAGCTTCGGAGATGCGAAAGTGGCAGGGAAAAGTCTGAGCTTAAAGCAATATAAGGACTGTGGTGCTCTGAGATCTTAAATGAAATTTTAAATGAAAGCAACTCGGTGAAATAATTAAGAATTTTGTTAAACTCTCCTGATACTTGGTAATGCTGTAACAGCACAGAAAATAAACACTTTAAAAAAAATCTCTGAAATATAAAATCTCAGGTTGAATTATTGATGTTTTTCAGATCTCCACAATGTCCAACCCTGCAAAAACCAAACTGTAGTACAATTGCAAAAGTGAAACTAGATCTTACTATTTTGCCTTACTTATAAAGGGATATAGATGTTTAAACACACAAGGAATGGTGCTGCTTAATGGCTGTTTATAGGGGCTATATAAAAGGATGAGAAAAAGTTGTTCTCAGTGCCACTGAACACAGCTTCTACACTCATTTACAGAAAGGCTAAAAATTATAATATCCACAGAAGCAGTTTTTGTGATGTCTACTGACCTATTTTATTTGCTTAAGTCAGTGCTTAGTGCATGTCCTGAAACCTGGTGTACAACAGGTGAGGGGTTCTGTAGGGGGAGTGTTGTGTTTATTTACACCATTTCCCATTGTGTGAAATATGTGTATTTTCACATTATTGTGAAAACTGGAGAAGGTACAAAAGTGCAGAACAGGTCAAAATCCCCTTATGAATTCAAATAATTTTTATAGCTTTTATTTAACTGCTCATAGAGTAACTAACTTATATCGACAGTTAATCATGGAAGGAGTTCAGACTGCAGTCAAAATATCATAGAATCCTAGAACAGTTTGGGTTGGAAGGGACCTTAAAGATCATCTCATTCCAGCCCCTGGCCAGGGACAGCTGCCCAAAACAGGTGAATTATGATTTATTTATTCCTGCAGTTTAGACTTTTTCCCTGTTACTGAAAATCTTTTGTAAAATCAGTTGTCTGTAACTTGAAGTTACTGTGGACAGGCTGTGTTGTCCATGTTCTGAATGCTGTGAAGATAAAGGAATTCACTCTAGATGTTTTCACTACATTTTCGAGTCACCAGGAAGTTGTAATAAATTCTAAATATTACCCAACAGTTGTTAACCAAGTGCTTTTCATAGGGCTTCACAGAAGGAAGCAAATAACACTCCTTATCAATGGTGGCACAACCTTTTATACTCAGGATTGGGAAAGCTCTTTTATAAGGAGTTTAGTTTTGTATCAATGTAGAACACAATCATATGTATTGAGTGGAGCTTCTGTTTAAAAAGGGGAGTAGCTGATGGTCTTGCACTAGAAAATTACTTGAGAGCTGATTTTAAACTATTCCAGTAAGTCTCTGCAGTTTAAATTTATACTCATGTACTACTAAAAGTGACCTGCAAAAGCAGAAAAAGGGTACTGGGGTATTTTGTGTAAAAATCTGCCTTGAAAATTCAAAGGAAGGTAACTACAAACTTTCCTTTTTGCAAGTGAGACTGTTTACTGCTGACAGGCTCAGGGATGACAGAAAAATGGGCGTGTTCTAAATTACATAGTACCATCTGAGGGTGAAGAGCATTCAAGGTTTATGTCTTTTTTAACACTTGTTCAAATTAACTACTCTGAAGATTCAGAGGACAACGTTGGGGCACGTTACTGTTGTTTATTCAGTGCCTCACAACTGGTGTTACATACTGGTAATTCTAAATTTATGAACTTAAAAAATCAGTCAAAAAAAGGATACAGGACTTTACAGATGAAAAAAACACCCTCAAAATCTAAAGGGACAAGCTCTTTTTCTTTGCCCTCTTTAAATATGAGGGAAATAAAAGGAATTAGACTAGACCCCTTTTTCACTTCAGGTCAACTTTTACTAGTAGCAGTTAGATCAATGGGTTTATTGAAATGCTTGAGGTTTTTCCCCCTCTGTGTGTATTTATATTGTTGCTTTCTAGTTGCACAAATAAAACCCACTCATGCAAATGCTCACATGCATAACACACACGCAGAACATGCAGATGCATTTGTATGAATGGTCAATAATTCAGGTGTTTTTTAATATAGAAGAGTTGGAGGTGTGGCTTTTTCCTTACGATTTTGCAGCTGAATTTACTGTGTTCTGTGCAGAATGGCTGTTGATGGTGGGTGTGGGGACACTGGAGACTGGGGAGGTCGCTGGAACCATGTAAAGAAGTTCCTCGAGCGATCTGGACCGTTCACACATCCCGATTTCGAGCCAGGCACTCAAGTGAGAAACACTTACTTTCAATAAAAAAATATATAGTGTGTGTTGCAAAGTAATGTAAACAGGTTCATTAATTGACCCACCAGCAATGTGTGAGTACTAAAACTGCATGAAGAACTTGTATTTTAATCAATTGAACATTGTG